CGATTCGCGGGAAACTGAGTCGCTATCGAACTTCCGCTGCATAAATTTTCATGCAGAATCAGTTTTTTAAGGAAAGAAAGAAGAGACCGGAATAGATAACCGGAATTTATCGAAAGATTTGATCGAGATTCGATTGATTTAACAGCAAGTGAGAAATCGAGAGTGACTCTAGGTCTCGACTTCGTGGCCGTAGCGATGGCGACGCGCGTGCAAGTCGTTCGGGAAGCGAGTGCACGGTGCATTCTAATCTTCCGACCGGCTGCACCGATGCAAGCCGCGTTGTCGGCCGCTTCTACCGAGAAAACCAGCCCCCGTGGCAATCTCGCCGATCTGGAATGGATTCGTAATCGTTGGTTAATGCGTTTCCAGGGAATCAGAAACCTGGAGAACGCTTCCTCCGGGGACGTAACGTGCTCACGTCCCATTCCACGCCGCTCTAAAACGAGCAATTCCAACGTCCTTTCGCCCCTGTCCTTTTTTTTCATTCGCCACATTTCAATTCGTAGAATTGGCGCAGTCTATCGCTTTTATCGAAGTGAGTTCATAGCACTTTGCGCAGACAGGCTTATCGCGATCTTCAGGAAATGCCCACTTGTGCAACTTCCAGTGTCGGAAACTGCGATTATTGGACACCTAACTCTCGATTTGCATACAAACTCTAGTGCTATTCTTGGAGTGAAATCGGAGGATTCCGTTAGACGCAAATTAGGCGTCATTTCAATGTTACACGCGCAGTATCTTCTTTGCTCTGGTAAGAAGAAGAAGAAAGTGCAGGTGTCTGTGACGGAGAAGTTTCAACCAAGTGAAATTCGCGGTGCGATTCATTCGTCATTTTCCGCGAGCAGGCCGCATTAAGATTCCGGCACGTAGCCATAGGCCTGTGTCGCGTACACGCCGAAGCGGCGACGTGTGCACACGCAGTCCCATTTGTACCAACACGTATCCAGAAACCAATTTATATTTATGATGTATCGGGGCTCGATGACACAGCGACTGGCTATGCTGGTCTCGAACCAGCCGGGACTAGCAGGGACAAATGGAGGAACGAGATGGGAACGGTGCTGGAGGCGTGCACCGCTTCTTTATTCCGTCATCTATCTCGAACGCGTTAAAATCCTTTCCGATACCTTCACACGAGCCGCGCAGATCGTTCCTTGCCATTCTTCGATTCGTCTGTCACTTGCACGTAACGTGACAAACAGCGTGGGAAAAGAGTTACTAGATTACTTGTAGAATCTTTCCGCAAACTGTAGCAATTTAATCGAGCCTGATCAAACGAAAGTCTAATCTAACCGACTCACCGGCGACTCGAGGCAACGGCAGTGGTTGAAAAATCGAGCGGAATAAAAATTGCCGCAAGAATTCCAGGTATCGATGTCCACGACGAGAAGAGAGGAGCGACGAAGGGAAGGCAGGGGAGAGACGCGCGATCGGCGGCGATTATCTTAATTGCCGGGCCTAGCTAGATGCGCTGGAAATCACCGTTAAGCCTGGTCGTCTTGCTCGTGGTACCTTAATTATCTCTCGACGGTCGTTCCGCTGGAAAGGCGCCTAGCATCGAACTGTTATCATCGTGGCCGTCGTAAATAGGATTCCGCCTCGGAAGTAATTCCGCCGTTTCGACAGTGAAACGACGTATCCGGGAACATTTTTACACGTCGACGATCAGCCTGTGAATTATGCAACGTCCCTTCATTCCTCGATTAAACACAGTTGAGTAACGATTCGAGCGTGAATCTTCTTTTTTAAATTTCAATCGCGGTTGGAAAGGATGCGATATACTTGACACGTGTTTTGTTTTTTCCTTTAATAAACAACACGTTTCACCTGGAATGCCGGAGCCTTTTCGAAAGAGATTCATGGGGCGATAGGCGTGGCTGTTCCTGGAACGCAAATCGTTCTACGAAACTGTAAATCTGGCCGGGTTGAACAAAAGGGAATTCAGCCATCGAAGGAACCTTGAATTAAGAAGTGACCAAGTGGTAAAAAGAGGGGCTTCGAGAGGCAGTTACGCTTCATTTTTTCCTCCACGTATGAAACCAACGTGCACAATTAAGTCGCAATTACACATCGGCCCTCCAAGTATCCGTAATAACTCACGAAACCATTTTCCCGAAATATTTCATCGGTTCGGATCGACTGAGATCACGATAAATTACCGGTGGATAAAATCAACGCGTTGCGTACCGGGACGAGGAGGCAGGTAAGAGAAAAAGGGCGAAAGGAGGAGCAGAAGAAGAAGGTGAGTCTGGGAGGATCTGTGTGGATGGAAAGAGGGGGACGAAAACAACGAGAGAGGCTGAAGAAGTAAGGGAGCACCTGTCCAACATCTGCTTTGCAGATGTTCTGCATCGTCGTTGCTCGATTATGCAACGAGTAGGTGTCTCGTGTTTCTGTAATCGAACGCAAATTGTTCTAGAATTTTCCGAAGGAAACTTTCAAGAAGACAATCGAAAGCTCGATCGTCGGCCAAGATGAATTATCGAGAAGGAAAAGGAAAAAGAAGAGATAGAGGTAACGAAGCGGAGGATTTGTATGGAGGAAAAAGTATAAAGAAGGATTAGAGGATCCTGGTCGGTTGGCGAGAATAAAGAAGGCTCGCGAAGCAACGGCCGGAAACGTGTGATTTGAATTTACGAGTGTGGAGTTCGCACTGGCCGTCGACTTACGCCCTTCTGATAACGAGCTGCCGGACAGAGGACCCATTGCTGGATGACTAATGGTCGGAGCCTCTCCGTCCAGGGACTAGAACGCGAGAGGAAGAGGAGAGATATCGCATTCCGCGATGCTCGCGAGTCGAGGAACAAGTTCACACCGCGGAAATCTTATTCTCCCTCGTCGTCTCTCTATCCTCCTATTCTTGTCTTAATTCAATCCGGCCTAGACTGCAACTATTCCAAGGTTAAGAATTTCGTCGAATTTTCATCGGTTCGATCCAACAGAATGAATTTCACACGCACACAGAGTGCGTACAAGGCCTGTCACTCTGACCTGTACTCCCTTCCAACGAATTAAACATGGAAAATTAATTGAGCGAGGGGACTCAACGCGAGACAATGGGTCTCCCTAGTGCCACACGGCGATAGGCGTGGCAAACCACAACAATGAAAACGAAGAGCGACTGTCCGTCGAACGACAGTCAACCTACACGCACGCCTGGTTTCATCGCTCTTATCTCGGCGGTCACTTCTTCGAACCGCTGTTTAGGTTTATTAGCGACTCCTCGTGACAGATACCGGTACACACTTTCACGTGTTAATGGTGTAAGGTGCTTAAACGGTAGAACGAACAGGTATATGTAATTGGATCGGTTCTCTTAAGTAGGCAAACAGATGGTCGATGTCGAAACTATGACATTTTTCTTTTCTTTTTTTTTCATATTGCTCCGATCGGAGTGTGTACGAGTTTCTGGGCCATCTATAAATCAACGCTTCCGGTGGTGTTGGGGATTCGTTAAATCCGACGCGCGAGACTCGGAGACAGTATAAATACAAACAGCGATTAAGGGGCGATCCTAAGTAAACGTGGCCTGACGAGTGGCTCTCGAGGAGGTCGCGGGCAAGAAATGATAAAAATAAGACCGGCAGATGTACACCATGAAACGAATTTAATTAAACATCAGCCGCTCTCCCCTCGTTGCTACCGAACGCGGCACTATTATTGCTCGGCGTCTCTTTCCTTTCAACATTCTTGCTGTCTGGTCATTAATAATATCAGTGCCACATGGAAAACTTTCTTTTTTTTTTAGTTCAAAATTAGAACGTGAAAATTTAAATCACGATAACGAATATAAATTAAATAAGTATTTCAGTCGTAGTCTTCGATGATCTCCGCACTTTTAAGCTCAAGCACAGTTTTGCGCGGTCAGGCGGCTATTTCAAAACACTGTACATCGCGGCAACATCAAAGAGGACCGCTCGTCCGGCGCGTAGGAACGAAAGCGATTAAGTTTGCGGGTTTAAAGGGGATCAAAAATCTTCAGAGGAGCACGCGTTCGTACGGAGAAGGGCCACCGCACTCTAAATCATCCACGGGGCCTAAACGTCGATCTATAGTTAGAAGGAAGAAATAGGTCAGTTTTGAGGGAGGAGCAGGTTTCCTATCGATCTCTCTAGCTTTCGTTCTCTTCTATACCTTCCAGCGTAAAACATCTTCCGATACATCTCCTGTTTATACATGAAATACCACCATGAAAACTAAAAGAATGATCTTACTCTTTCGAAAATATCACCGACAAGATTATCCAATTACACGTGAAATTATGCAAGGGAAAATGCTAGGTGATTAATATTTCGAGCAAGTTGAAAAAGACTTGCCGGAGTCGAAGAGTAAATCGTCAAGCTGTCAAACGAGTATTCCAACTTTCCTCTTCCTGCCCTTTCCACCGATCGATTCGTATCGACGCGAAAATACACGGCGTTGTTTTACGAGCGGCCAGGAAGAAGAAAGGGATGCTTTGTTGGCGGGCACGGGTTTACGATCCCCACGAAATCAGAATAAAAAATCGAAACCGGTAACGTGACGGGAGAGAAACAGCGACTTTACTTTTAATGCCTGGCTGTCTGGCGGTTCGCGGAAAAGGGACACAACGTTTCCCCGAAATATACATACATATGTGAGTGGCATTTATTCTCGCGCAGTTGCCCGAATCCGTTGACCCCTCGAATCACGATAAGGGTGTCCACAGCCTGCACGAGTCACCTTTTCAAACTCGTGCTGCAACAAAAATACCTCCTGACCTAGTTTTCCGTTAGTTCTACTCACAATGAGTACTACCTAGGCTGGTTCGACTGGGTGAATTAAGACAGCTGATGAGAATTTAAGTGGAATTTCAGTTTTCTGAGGGTAGAGGGTCAGGTAGAAAAGATTTCTCCAGACGTACTAAGTGCAAGAAGATATCAGACAGGTAGTTGAGGGATAATTACGTCCGTGTAATTAGGAAAATTGTTTCAGGGGTGGGTGTGAGCACGAAGGATGGCATAGAACCACACTTGGTCAGCATGTGCTATGTGATAGTCACTGGTCGTAGTTTGCTGTGGACGTTGCTGTCCCTGGCGGCGTTAATGGCGGTTTTATCGGGCCTGATCACTCCGAAATGGCTCGTTGGACCCCAGACGAAGGACACGAGTAATTATTTTCTCTTGCTTAATCCGTAGCGACAACAGGTCCAAGGTTCAGAATATCTATTCTTGGCAAACTACTCAACGTAGATCCGAGTATACCTACTTAAACGTTACCAAAGTTTTTCTAATTAACAGAGAATGGATCAGAACTGTACGTTCCAACAGTAGGCATCTTTAATCGTTGCATCAAGCTGCACGGGAAGACTCACTGTGCTAATTTTAACGTGGATGGCTTCGCAACAGACTCCAGCGTGTTTCCAGGCTGCTGGAAAGCTTCGTACTTCTTTCTATCTCTCGGTTTAGCGATCATGGCGATGACAGTGCTTGCAGCTCTGGTTGGCTGCTGTATGCAGAGCATTGGAAGGAAGAGTATCTTTAACTTGGCTGGTGTGGCACAAGTAATCGCTGGTAATTTCGATAGTTAACCGTCTCTTAATCTTATAGAAATCAAATTCTACAATCCTCCTTATTTTTCTGCCGACAGGAATCTCTTATCTTCTGGGGATGATTCTCTATCCAGCTGGCTGGGGTGCTGAGAGGGTTCAAAGGATCTGTGGACCGGAAGCTGACGCCTTCTACCTCGCTGAATGCTCCCTAGGTAGTAGAACTTGGAAAAAAGCCTCTACTTTCCCTCGTACATAGAATAATAAAAATTCTTCTTCTCAGGTTGGGCGTTCTACAGTGCGGTGACAGGGGTTGCATTAACCTTCGTTTGCGCTGTAATCAGTGGCCAGGCGGAAAAGTCCACAGCCAGCGACAAAGTTCAGGACAAAATGAACGAGGGCAAGACTTTGATCTGTCTGGCGTGAAACGTGCAACTACGGAGAACGTTAATTCATCGTTGCTTTCGAAACATCCATACATTTTTCGTTCACCGAAGGAGCAAGAACGAAAAGAGCTAGGCGTTCGACTGGCCAACATTTCCTTCTTCTTCTTGGACACGTCGGTTGCGACAAGAGGAAATTTATCGTGGGCCCAAGTTCGACCTCGCTTAGCGTCATCGAGGTTAACGACCTCTGGTTATGGGGTCGTTGAACCTTTGCTCGAACAGAGTACTTATCGCACAAGTGAATCTTTTCTGTGCCAATTAATGTTTCCAATGTAACATGATATTAGAGTTGTATGAAGCGGAGTACAATTCAGCGTATTCTTAAAATCACCATTTTTACAGTATATCGTACGGATATTTCGTAGGAGTTAAGGGTAAGTATTGTACAAGGAGGAAATAAATGGAGGATACTGTTAAGAAACACCAAATCGTATCTTCTTTGTTTCTCCTTTCGATGAAAGTACACCAGCCAGATTTTTCCTTCATTTTTTATTAATTCATTGAGAACAAGTGTATGGACAGCTTACTAGTATCTAAGAAATAAATAATCGTAACTGTTGTATCCGCGTAAAAAAGAGAATAGGGGGAACGTTCGATAGAATCGTTCGAACGATAAGTAAAAAATTTGCGCTTCCTGTCGTTTCCTCTCGAAAGCTGTATGGTTTCTTACAAAGTAAAAACTGACGACGCTTTTATTTCTTTCTCTCTAGTGTTTTTTAAAAGAAAACGCAGTCACCTCGGTCTGGCGAATGTATCGAATGATTAAAAACATCGATGATCGTCACGACGATTATAAGCTTTGGATCGATCTTCTCGTAAAGCTCGTGCGGATCTCGTGAAAGAAGCGACGTGGGAAAACTGTTTCTCAAATATAAATTACTACGTGTGGATTAAAGGTGAGCTCCTAAAACGCGGACTATACACGTGAATGGTACATCGAGATGCAACTAAAAACGACGAAAACCTAATCATCGAACGATACAAAAGGATTACAACACGCGTGTTTCAATTTCTTTTTCTTTTTCCCGGCGAAAAAATACAAATAACACGATTACATTCCGTGCAGTCGCTCGCTTCTCCAGCCACGCAACAATTAGACTCTCACGCTTATGTACAGTCGTTGCATTAAAAAAAAAAAGAACGGAAAACAATTAATAATAGCTACGTTACAAAAAGTTCCGTCGGATTCGCTAAAAAGACAATCTAAAATATCCAATTCATGTTCGTCGTTTTTAAGCGGGACGGATAAATGAGAACGAAACTGCCAACGATACACTCTTTTTTTTCTTTTTGATTCGCCGTCTCTTCCCCCCCCTCGATCGAACAGCGTGCGACGTAAGCAATTAATCTAATCGATTTAATCAACGAAAGAAGCTTCTCTAACGTGTCTCCATTTCATTCTCATTTATCGACTCGTTTTGTTTCTCGTATTGTCCCTCGATCAGCGATTAAACGGGATCGAAAGTCGAATAATTGTCGGTTGTCAGTCGAGTTTATGTACACACGTATAAATAATCAAGGCACCAAGGGAATCAACAGTCAATAAATAACGCGGGCCGACACGTGTTCCTCTGCCTATCTGCGAGATAGAACGACGTTTTAAAAAATTTCATTCGCATCTTTTGTGCTTCCTTCTTTTTTTCTTGTTTTTCCATCCAATATTTTTCCTCTCCGTTTCTTAACGCGCGCAGAATTAACAAATTCACCAGCGTAAGAGTATCGATTAATACAATCATGAAGAACGCGACACTCATTGTCAGCGTGTGCATCGAGTATTTTTACACATTAGGTAGCGCGGGTTATTTGGTTGGACGAGCTCTAATTACACCTGCTGACCGCCTACCGATTCGGATACACCTTAAAATTAACATGGGAATTAAACTATCGGGCGTTTCGAGACCGTCTCTACGGGAATGTCAGCTGAAACGTGTAGGTCCTGATCTGATTTTGCGCTAACACACTCCATAGAAAAGAAAAAACAAAAAGAAATCTATTCGTCCTTTCCAATTTGTCACGTGACACGCAAAATCAATTCGCGCTTACGACCTGTTGTTTGCATTCGGGACCGATTTCCTCGCGAGAGCTGTTAATTACGACTAAAATGTAGTGATTGGGATTAAAAGTAGTAGTAGTAATAATAATTAATTAATTAGGCGTTACTGAAAAGATAATAAAAATAATAGGAATCTTTCTGGTTTAAACCCCACGCAAACTCACGATCGTTTAACCGATCTCGATCGTTCATCGACGTTTATGCAAAATAAAAAAAGAAACTGAACTTGTTAGGCGAGTACGATCGATTCTTTTTCGTTTCGTTGAGAAAAAAGAAATGAAAACCAAAGAGAAAAGATCGTTAACATTAGATATATACACAATACATTAAACGTAAGCTACTAAAAATTATGCCCGTATCAAGGGAACTACCGATTGAGAGCGTTTCGAGTAATAATCCTGTCTTGTGAATCCTCGATCCAGGCTCGTTAGAGTTTCTAACATGTGACTATTCTCCCACGATCGATCATTAGATCCCTCTCTATCGCGATCCTGCGATTTTCTATAAATACAAGTTACTCGTCATCGTAAGAAATGCGTTATAGAAATATTGATCTGACAGCCCAGCTCGAGTAACTTCTTTTAATTAGCTTTCTCGTGAACAAAAAAAAGTCCTACGAACGAGAGGCAGTTTCTCTATGCCATTTTCCATCCTACCACCTTTTCTTTTTTTATTTTGTCGTTTATCTTTTGCTTTTTTTGCACAGAATAACTTTGTCCCTTTAATCACGATATCTTACAAGAGAAAAGAAACACGAAAACAGAGAGAGAGAGAGAGAGAGAGAGAGTTCACCTGTGCTGTTCCATTCGCGTCGACTGAACAATTAAATATCGTACAAAAGTTGAACGCGATCGTAAATCGATATAAAAACGTAACAAGATTAGCACGAAACATCACAGCGTGTTAATATCAAAGTTGAGACGAAAACCACGTAATAAAATCATCGTCGAATTCTTAAAAAAAAAAAAAAAGAAGAAAAATATCTTCGATCGATCCAGTTACAACTTTTCATTTTACAAAGTCAATCGTTTAAAAAAAGAACAAACATCGATCGTTTGAAACGTCTACCAAAACATCTATATATATACCGTATGATCGTTCTTATTGCTCGCCCCACCGTTAGGCGAAAACGCTCAACACTACCAACGATATAAAGCGAGTTTGATTGTAAACGAAGCATATTGGTAATTGTTTTATAGTCGACACTCTAAGCACGACAAATCTGACGCTTGATTCCGATGACAAAATACTAAATACATATATATATATACGAGCGCAACAACGAGCACTGATCGTCGATTAACTGTAACGATCGACATCGAGAAGCTTCGCGAAAGAAAAAAAAAAACGATACGTCAGATCCCTCGTGGTTCGAGTTTGATTTCAATAAAATGCATCAAAAATACCGCGGTTTGATTTGGCTCGAGGCGTTTATAAGCGTCACCGGAAAACGCTGCTACTGATTTCGCTCGACAGACCCGCCGCCATTTTTATCGTTACGTATCGGGGGCGAAGATCTTCACGGTATTCTCGGAATTCTGCGCGTTCGAGCGCATCGCTCGCCTTCTTTCTTCGATCAGCTGCCTTCGAGCCAGTTCCCTCGCCTCCCTCGCCTTCTTATTCGCCTCGCTGTTCGCCGTCGATTTCGGCTTGTGGATCGGCGTCACGCGACGCTTCACTGTGCTACCATTTTGTGGACCAGCGGTCGCTGCTTTCTTTTCTGGCACGGTCTGCAAAATAGTCGGGGAAAAAAAAGAAAAAATGCACTCCGACGATTAATTGCTGGAAATAAACGAGCGTGGCTTGTTAAGGAGTTCAGACGTGTTAATACGAGCCAAGAATTTCTGAAAATAATGGCCAGGAGTGGTTGTCTTTATTAGGTATTTAACGAGGATTGCATAATTATGAAAGGATGATCCATTTCGTATCTGTTCGACGTGGTTCTTCTACTGTAGACAGAGGTTTCTTGGGTTTTACTGCTCCGTTATTTTAGTAGGAATTAAAAGGAATCGTAAGTGCAGCAGGGAAGTACAGGAAGAGGACTTTTATTCGACGAATAGATGGTGTACATTTATTAGTTGGGAAACGTAATGAATTTAATACAAATTGAACAAAAATCTAGGATCCAGGAAGTGATAATTCCATGTATTGAGTTTTAGAAATATGAGAGCGAGACTCAGAATACCGTAGACGTATAAATACAACGATAATCGACAAAGGGTTCGATTAGATTTAAGGAACGTACAGACATGTCTTACTTTAACGGGAAAATTTTTAGTATTCAACGATTTCGATTGAACATTGATATTAAGCGGGAATAATTGCATGAATTTTAGGTCTTCCAAGTATTGATTCATGTAAAATCCTCTTTTTAACGGTAGATATTTGTCCAAATTGACACTCTTGCCACTTTTTCGACTAGGCAAAGGACGAACGACGTAGTCCGAATGAACATGTTGCGAAATATCCATGACAACGTTAACTTTCGACGATGTAATGCTTTTGGTAATCAGACCATAGCTCAGTTTTTTAATACTCACGCGATTTTTTACTTTAGAGTCATTTCGTTTAGGCAATCTAGACGCGATTTCTGAACTCAAAGAAGACATCAAAGAGGATAAAAAATTCTGTATCTCAGCCTTCCTCTCTGAGAATTTGGAAACATTAGTGGGAGGATTATTTATAGCTACAGTAGATTTGGTGTTAATTGCACAGGACACTAAATTATTGGGAGAAATGAAACATTGTATCGAAAAATTACGATTCTCGTTTGTAAGATTCGCAATATCACCTGTAATCTCAGTGTCTTTCCTTAAGTTCGCAGACTTTGTGTTTCGAGTGCCTATTTGCTCTACGATATAATTTTCTAAAGAATTCGATCTAACTACAGGAGGAATAATTTGTCTGGGAGACTCTTCCTCCTGGTTCTTCAAGATCTTTTTTCTCTTGTCGTCGTAAACCTTCATTCTATCCAACTTGTCCGATTTGTTTGACGCCGAAGACGAATTCAGCTGATTCTCAGCATTGTACATTTTCCTCAATTCACGCAGAGTCTCTGAAGACAATGGAATAAAGGGCTTCGAGTCGCTGAGCCTCCAAAAAATACTGTCCGATATCTCAGGTGAGTCTGCTACCTTCGCTTCGATCTTTTTAGGTAATTCTTTCGCTTGTTTCTTCACGCTCCATCTCCCAGAAGACGACCAATTTTCTTTAGGCATATCTACTTTACGTTTATTTCTCAGAGAATCGATATTCGACCATACGTCTTTTGCTACGGAGAGATTAATCTTTTTTTCACAATTTTGATCCGCTTTCTTAGCATTTTTATCTTTAGACGATTGAAGTATTTTGTCTAATCTTCTACGTGATACATTTTTCGTGAAATTGGATTTAGTATTTTTTTCGTTCCTGCTGTCATTCGATGAGAGTCTTTTTTCAACGTTGTTTGAAAATGTAGCTTTATGTTCAGATTTTTTAATATCTTTTTTAGACACTGGAGAGGAGGCTTTATAAGGAAACTTGTCATTTTTCGACGGAAGGGAAACTTTCTCTTCGTCCCTTTTCCGGTTAACGACTGGCTTCGTGTTACGATACTTATGCTGCTCGCCAACACCTGGTTTAATCGAATCGATTTTCCGAGACTTGTTTTCTGGGGTACGTGATTTCCTTATACGTGAAATTTTCATCTCGGTTTCGTGGTTCTGATTTCTACCAACGGGGCTGCACGATTTCGCTTTCGATCGAACGGTTTCCTTCTTTTCTTCAACGGAAGGATCTTCTTTATCAGGTAACATAACAGGATGTTTATCGTTGCTTTTTTCCTCTGTCACAAATTTCCGTGAATCTTGCTCCAACGACTCGGAGTAATTATTTCGCGAGTCGTCGTAAAAATCGTCGAATACTTGCTGCTTTATCTCGTCAATTTCTTTTTGAAAAATCACCTCAAACTTGGACGATGTATTTTTCTCAAAAAAATCACCATACGGGTACAAATTACGGGGTTCTTGGTAATAAAACGGATTCAAATTAGACTGCAAAACGTTCACGTAATTTACGGTGTACGAGGAGCATGGCTTCGTAGGGAAATTATTACTTTCCAGTTGGTTTATCTCGGTATTACTCTCGCAAAGAAACGGATTACTATCTTCGTACTTTAAATCATAGTCGATGCAATACTTTTCCTGTTCTTCTAAACCGTTCGAAAGGGTTAATACTTGAAATACATCGTCGCATAAGCGCGTTTCAAGGTTAAACTGTTCTGACTCTTGAGAAGTGACTCTTTTCAAGTAATACGATTCATCCGGTTCGTTATACGTCGTAGCAGTGAATCGTACACGTTTATTAGTAACGGAATGCGACGAGGATCTGCAGGAAGGTATTTTGCCATGGAAGTACGAATTTTTCGGAGGATTCTTCGAAGTATGGATTGTCGGAGGGTGAATTGAATCGGGACATACCTCTTGCCACTGAGAATTTCGTAACTTTTCGATATGATCGAACAGCTCGTTTACTTGGACCACCTGCAGCATCACCATGTCCCAGAATCCAGCCAGATCCTCGTTCGTCGTGGGGAATTCCTCTCCAGGCACCTGAATCTGCAACACAAAAAACGAACCGCCGAAAAGAAATAAAAATAAATTCCATTAAAATTACAAAACTTATTGAAGAAAAAAATGAAATGCAAATTGAAGCGTACAATATTTTTCTGACATAGTCCCTCGAACTGTTGCATCTTCTGCGAAGCCAACAATCGAGCCTTGCCCGCAGCTGAGCGCAGTTTTCCGGCTGCCTCTTCCGGAAGTGCAACAGTATCGCCGCTGGCCAACTCCGCTTCCGCTGACGCGGCTAACGAGAGAAGCCTGTCTGTCTCTTGTTTCAGCAACTGTAACAATCGACCGAAAGAACGTTCCGTTGGACTGTATTCTTTCCACGGTTAGGCGTACCTTCATGAAGTAATGTCCATTTTTCTCCTCGGCCGTTTTCTCCGCCTCCTGAACCTGTTTCACCACGTTCGACGAGCTGGCGCTCGGCTCTAAGACAGGTAAGACTACTTTTGGCGCAGCCGGCTGCTGATCCGGGATGCTGGTCACGCTAGAATTCAGCTTCTGCGCTCCGCTGTCCGCCAGATTCCCATCTAGTTTCGTTGCCGCTGGGATTTTTGGTTTCTGCTCGACCTTCCTTGACACTGGTGTTACCCTGATAGTGAAAACGACGCAATTTTTACCTCTATCCTTACGCCAAACCCACCAGAATGTCTCTGCTTCGAGTATCTACCTTTGCAAAGGCTTCAGAATTTGTTCCGAGCCGTCGGTGGGTCTCCTAGGACTGACTACGGGTAGCTGAGCTCGAAACTCTGGTCTCAGGTGTCTCAGAACAGGTAGATTCTTCAAGGATTCTTCGGTGTTGGCGTTCTCTGTCGATACGTCGTTGTTATTGCTGGACTTGTTGAAACTGGTGTCGCTGCTGTTCAATCTGCTGGTGCTACGCTTGAAGAAGAAGCCCTGGGCCAACGCACCAGGACCGTAGAGCCGTTCTACTCGTTGCTGAATGAAGGATTTCTCGCTGCTCGATGAATTGCTCAATACCTGATTCTCTATCTCCACCGAAGAACCGTTTAATATACTCGTGTCGCTAAACGAAGTATTAGAAACTGCAAACCATCCAGAGAAACGCAACATTTACACGTGTGAACGTTGTTAGAAACTTCGTCGAGAAACTGCAGCGAGACTTACTATTAGCAGTTGCTTGCTTCGGAGACGATCCTGAGAAATGTTTGTTCTGCTGGCTGCAGGACATCATCTGTGACATCCCTGGACTGCGTTTCGCCGGGGTGGTGGGTCTGATCGGGCTAATATCGGCGAATCCCGAGTGCATCACACCTTTGTCCACTTCAGAGTAGCCCTGGCATATGCTTATCGAATTTCTAGTCTCTCTGTAAGCTTCTACCTTGCACTCCTCCTTCAGACCGTTCGAGAAACCGTTTTGTCTGTCCATTGCGAGGGGCGAGATCGACTGACTCTTAGGCGGATAGGGGTGCACGTTTAGGTTCTCGTTTGATCTGAAACAGTTTCCATAGCACCTCTTACCTTCAAATTTATTAGCAGCTATAATTAGAGAAGGATTTCAAGTAGAAGAACCAAGTGGGTTCGAGGAAAGCGGTTCGATCGAAGAAATTTTCTACCTGAAACCCGCGGGGCTGGTGTCTCGGGTGATCAACCTGGTCCCAGGGCTGCTGTCCCTCGATCGAAATCCCTCCCTGAGTTTGCTGTCGTATCTATTGATCCCTGAATAGCCGCTGATGCTGCAGGCCAGGCCCAAGTAGCTTGGTTTCTTCACTGTCAGCTGCTCTGGCTCTGGACTGCTTCGATTACCATTGCTGACGTTCAATTTCTCATCTGGCGTCAGGTGGGACTTCTGCAGCGTCTCGCTGCTACCGTTTGCCAGATTATTCGGCGAAGACACCGAGTCACCGTTGCAGGATAAATTCAGACTATGCAACGTCTTCTTCGATATAGTGTCTACGGTGTTCTCTGTAAACCACAATCCACAGTGTTGGATCGAGGGGAGACTCGTTGGTTCGTTAACCAAGCCTATTCTTCGTTCTACGATCGTACGATTTTCCCTACTCACCGACAGACTTAATGCCAACGGAATAATAACTCTGATGTGCAAGCACGCAATGCGAACCGCAACCTTCGCGTCATTTACACTTGGCGCGGATTCTTTAATCACCCGAATGCACACATCCAAATGGTACAACAACACTTTCGAAGAACACTCGAACCACGTGTTGAGAAGAACTGAGAACGCACAGTTTGGAAAATTAAAGGAGACGCGAGAAGATGAGAGAAAGGGCCGAATTGGAGCTCGTTCGAAACGCGACACAGGAATAACCCTGGAATGGCAAGAGGCTGGCCGAGTCACGATGCAAAAGAGACACGAGTAGAGAGACCGACCGCCTCTTCTCCTCTGCTCCTCTTGGCACCGACCATCGAAAGAAGCCGCGCTCGCTGCACTCGCCTTAGATCTAAATCCGATTTCGAACTCTCGAGTGAACGAGCAAAAAGGAACGATCCACAAGAAGGTGGAGAGACCACGGTTAACCTTGAACGTTCCAAGATCGTCTCGCCGTGAAATTCGTCAGGCCGAGGACTGGTGAACGTCAAGTGCAAGGTCGGTCAACGGGGACCCCTTCGATTCCACCCGTTTAACTCTTCAGGTTCTTACCAATTCCCTTGGACCCATTCGCAACTTTTACTCTCGTCAACTCCTCGCTGTTGCAAATGGGTTAACCCATTGCCTTGCGATCTTCAATACTGCACAACGACAAACAGCTACCTAAACCTGCTTTTGTCGCGTTCGGAGCTTAACCTGTGACTCCCATCCGCGAGGCAACGGGTTAAACACTTTGTTGGCCGTCAGCACGGTCAACAACTGAAGACCTTTCGAATCGATCAGTCACATCGACCGTTACCCTCGCGGTTAAACCACGATTATGGTACAGTTTCTGACAGCAGCCGTCAAAGTGCTAAAGACGTAGCTCGGCTAATCGACGGAGGGAGAACCCCGATAAAGCTTATCTCTTTTATTAGCCATTCTAATCTTCTACAGTTAGAGGGATGGTGAATCTACGTCATGTGACAAAAAACTACACGGAGCAGATTGCGTGTAGGATGATAAAACGCTAGCAATCGAAGAATAGCCAACCTGATCGGTCGGACGCGGATTGGTCGACGTCCAGACTGCAGCTGCCGATGCTCTCCTGGCTAGTCATGTTAGGATGATGGCTGGTGACGACGTCGATGGCGATTTTCGGGTCCGGATCGAGGCGGCGGTAATTTAGCGGTTGCACTGCTAAAGAAAGTGGCCTGATGCGGCGGTTCGACCTGATGCCGGCGGCGCCTGGGACCGACGGCGTCAGCGTCGCGGCGCAGCAGTCGCCGACGTCCTCCAGGCCCGCTACCTCGCCGCCGCCGCGTGTTTGCCCGCTAGCTCGACGACGATCCTCGTCCCCGCGCTCCTCGTGCACACTGTTGAGTTTTTTCGTTCGTTTTGGCCCCTCAACTTTTCCTTTTCATCCTCTCGTTTCAGTGTTTCTCCTTTTTTTCTTTTTTTTTGGAGATTCTCTTTCGTTCGGAAAATGATGGACTTTGTCTCGTCGAATGTTAATTGATCAAAGTCCATCATGTTCGATGCAAACGCGTCTCGATGCTCTCGAGCTGTTCTCTTTCTTTTTCCACTATCGAACGGTTAATTTTCCGTCTTATTCGAGCAGGAAAATTATCAACGAAATTGTAAACCACCGGTGGAATCGCGAGGCACGTGAAAGCGGAACGAATTAGCATCAAGCTTGACCTGTTCCGGATGTTTTGTTGTCCATTTAACGACAGAAACCATGACAAGCAGGTGGATGAATTTCTTTTTCTGCTCGGTGTAACCGAAGCTCGAGGGCATCGTGGACGTTTAATTGGAAGCTCGTGCTGTCTCGATTTTGTATTCTATCTTTGTCTTTTCAATTAGAACGAACACTTTTCGCCGGTACAGTGACGAAATTAGAGAACGGTCGATTGTTCGTTTGGTGGAAAAATTTCGCGATTCTCTCGGGTGAAAACAAAGTGGAAAATCGCGTAGAGGAATTAACGAGATTACGTTAACGAGAACGGTAATTTCGTCAGTGACTAAGTAAACAGGTTTTTATCGCAGTGAATCACGGAACAAGAGCGGGACCCGGGGGACTTTAAAAAGCAAATAACCCGCGCGTAAACTCATCCTCGTGGATCTAATTTTACGTATTCGACCGGTGGCAGAACGCAGACGAGACGGACGTAATAAATCGACGCATCTGTTAGTATACAGCGCGAGCTTCCACGTTCTCTTTCCTCTCTTAACATAAAACTATCTACCCTTTCCTTTTTTCTTCTTTCTATACAGCATCAGGCACGTGGCTGACGAATAGCGATACGAAAACAAGAGAATCTTTCAGACACTCCGCGTATACGTACATTGAAAGTGCAAGAAACAATTGCTCAAGGTGTCGAATTTATATGTAAAAAGAAAAAAATAGAATCTAGGATAGAAAGAACGGCGAAAAGATTCAATGTAGCATCGCTATTTGGGATCGTTTTCTAATTGGCTGCTTAATTATTTCGGTCGAATTAACGCGGCACTAATTGCACGCTAATCGCGGCAGATTTTGCACGAATCGCATGGTGCACAATCACAAGCATGGTGCATCGGTCGGTAGGTAATACAATTCACTCTCGAGAATCGCATGCAATTTAAAAGGAACGGCGAGGCGGCCCCGCGTGTATGTGTGCGCGCAACGAAGGAATCGATATCGTCGCTCGATCCCTTCCAATTCGTATTAATTAGCTTAGTCGTGTGTCACGCCGATTAATTGGATGCTTTTATACATTCTCCGTTGTAAGAGACATATACACGTTCACGGTACAAAGGAGACAAAAAAAAAAAAAAGGAAAAGAAAAGACAAAACTTTCGGTCTTGTTAAAGAAATATACAAGTGAGGCTGTTAGTTACACGCATGGTATTCCGTACAGAACCGATCACACTTTCCAAACGACAGGTTACACGAGATTTTTTCCCACTGGTTATATACACACTTTCGCAGAATTTCTTACGAAGGTTCGAGTTTTCCTAATTTCCCTTTTTCTCTGTACACCCGAAGAAATTCTAACGATGCTGTTCTCGTCCGGTGCAACTATTTTTCTATCTTTGTAAAATGAGGTTACGCGTTAACACTAGAACTCTACCAGTGGTTTCCTCCAAACGTGGTTGCACCAACTTCTCGATTAATCCAACTGTTAATTGCCGGTAGATCTAGTGTTAAAAGTTACATGGTGGCGTGCAGCGAAGCGAAGGTACACACCCGAGACACAGTGCAAGGTGATCGAATCATGCGTGAATGCGTTGATGATGAATGTGATGGACGCACACGCGTGTGGGAACGAGCCAGATAGAGGGGGGTAGAAAATGTCAAAGTGTCACACGAGGATACAACAACAACAAGAATTTTCGCGTGGACACACGCGATCGAAGAAATCGCGTGTCGTCTCGAACGAACGTTATCGGTTCGTTGTTTTTTTCTTTTCCCCTCTTCTCTTAATAAAGCAATTATACATTGTTAACCGTAACGTTAACGAGCCACGATCAGTTACGGAGGAGCTATTGAAAAACCGCGACGGGAAAGATGAGATATATCGCACGAGTTCAACGGAGCCGTGAGTGGAAACAGTGAAACTGTTGTTGGATAAATAAAACGGCTCGTTGGATCCGCGAGAACCCGTCTGATAAATTACGTTATAGAAAAAGAGTTTCACGGTGAATTGAATGCGTGTAGCAGCACATTTACCTCGTATATAACGAGAGGATGAACTTATCCACCGAGATTTCCATCGTAAAGAAAAATAGAAACTTTATATACATTCTAACCTTTTACCAAAGAGGATTCATCACGCGATACGATCGGAGAAACTACTCATGTGAAATTGATACCTACACACGCACGCAGTAGGACAAGGATGCGTGGTATTCGAAAGAGAGGCAAAGAAAGATAAAGAAGAAAAGAAGATGGTCCTACCTCCTACGCCAATGCTTCCAAAGTAGAAATTTCGAGACATTCTTTTTGGCAACTGGGTTTACCGTGTAGGTGCCACTCTCGATTTTCAGAGGCATCTTCGACACACTTTCAGTCCTGCAACGACGTTCATCGACTGCTACCACGCTTTTGCTCCGTCCTCGACTTAAAGTGTTATACGCCGTAAGTGATATTGGAGACGGATTACTCGCGTTTCTATCGATTCGAACAGTTCTCAGACACCCGAATCCCCATGAAATCGCACTTTTTTTACTCGAGATACTCTGAAAAATCACTTCTCCGTGCTCCCGTTCATTTTTCATACCATCCCGAAGGAAGCGAAAGAGACGACGACAGCGCTGGAGGGACTAGAGTACCGAACGAGTTCTCCAATGAATCACAGACGAAGAAGAGAATCAGATCATCTGACAGACAAAGTCTTTCTTCTTCTCGCGACCTTTGTCACCGCGAAGAACTCGCGAAGGCACGTTGCTAGGATGACTAGTTACCGAAGACTGGCATTCCCATCTCATCTCTCTCTTCTAACGCACTCTCTCCCTCTCTTTCCTCCCTCTTTATCTTTCCTCGTGCCCTCGGCACACACGAGGATATTTCGGGAGCACTCAAAAAACCACGAAAGCACACGACTCGCTTCCTCCGCCGCCCCTTTCGCCGGCTCTACGGCCACACGCACCACCCTTCCCACCTCTTCCGCCATTTCCAATTTCTTTCAGCGTTTCAATTTCGAGAACAGCCCGTTACAAACTTTTTTCCCTCCACGTGGACGCTTTGATAAAACGACTCGGTGAAAGACGAACATTTGGAGGCGTCGAGCGTACATCGGGCAGTTTTACCAACAAATTTCCAAATTAAACGTAAGAGCGAAGGGAAAGATGTGCATCGAACAAAGGAAATATTTATTTAAAAGAGAAAAGAATTATCACAAGATAGTGAAATAAAGTGGACCATCTGCTGTTGAACATCGCTTCATCCTCTCACCATATGGCTTACCTTACGACAAAGAAGATGCTTTCAAGCTTCGTCCCTCTTTTGTGCGAAGAGGTGCATAAAAGCTGGTATAACGAAGTAACCAGGGGGTTTCGAAAGTTGACGAAGAGGACGCGTGCGACGAATCGGTGGCATTAGCGGCGGAAGCGGGGTAGAAAAATAGGGGGTTAGTGGTTGGAACACGTGTCTGGCACGCGTACCATTTTCACAGAAGTTCACGCGTCGGAGAAGAGGCGTAGCGCGTTCGATTTCACGTTCGTAAGAGCGGCAAAGTATCACCAGAGGAGTTCCAAGGGGTTAATAACCCTCTCTTTCTTCGGAGGCCTTTACAGAGCCCCGCTCTTTAACGCGCCGCCGGTCCCTCTGCGCCTTTATGGCTCGCGTAATAGTTACTACTTGCTCGAGGTCTGATGCACCGTCTTTCAGCAATTCTGATCGTCGAGAACACTCGTCCATTCGACCAACAATTCTTTTCTTTCAGAGAAGAACGTTTTGCTTTTCTTTCTTTAATTAAAAGATCCATTTATGGACTATCTAATCATTCCAACAACGCGAATATCAAGGAATCTCTAGGCAGACCTGAATTCTTAAGGACGCCCGATATATCTGTCAGAATTTTCTATTTTCAACTTGCATTCTCGATGGAGATTCAAATATTTACTCGCGTTTCCAGTTCCGCAGGAGTATCCACGTCGTCGCAGGGATCGTTAAAGCGTGTTCTAACATTCCCGAAACCGGTGGTGCGAACGAGAAAGCCCCGATATTCTTTCCACGACACTCTACTGGCTTGTCAGTTTCAATTATCCAGACCATAAATCACCGGCCGGCGGTTTCCCCTTGCACGGAAATAGACGAACGATAGAGTTAATACTATTACGCATCATCCATCATCGTTAGATTTTTCCTAGACCGACAAGATCGACGACTCCCCCGATCGATCTTTCCGTCTAAAACGATTCGACACATTTTGCCAACCTTGGACCGATCACGTCCCGAAACGAATGTATCCTGGCCACCCGAAAAACTCCTCCAACGACATAAATACAGTCTGCACGCTTACGCATGACTAGCGTGAAACAAGAGCTGCCGTCTGGGAATGCAGAAACCGCGGCTATGAATTCAAATGCAATATGGCGGAGGGCCATTCTAAGGGCGCAGCTGGACGGATGGAAAATTACACGGGGCGATACTCCAAGTGAACCGGAGAACGCGTAACGCGTGCATTGTCGATGGTTCCTGGTGTTTCTTTGTACGTTCGACTCGAGCTTGCAAGATCGTTTCGGGTCGATTTTGTATTTTTATTCCGGAGAGAGGTATTTCGCGATTCGAGGGAATAAACGGTAGAAAAGTTCAAGGACACCGTTCGTAAGTGACGAATAGAGTAGCGTGAATGAATAAATGTACCGAGGATTGCGTTGACACTGGTGG